ACATTAAACTTTTACAATCTTTAAGGTAAATAGGTCGCCTATCTGCCATCTCATGCAGATCTTTTCTCTCTTTCTTCCTGTCATATAGATCCTTCTCAAATGTTCTCATTTCTTTCTGCTACTATATACTGACACATGATTTCTCACTCTCTTCTCTCGATGCACTGTCATCAGGTTTTTATCTGATCATTTTAAGCCAAGTACAACAGATTGATTGAAGAACCATTTTTCGATTGAAAAAAATTCCGTCCTCAAAGGGCTAATAGAACAAGCAGATTCAAATAAAAAAAAAGAAACGTAAAAATCTTCCATTGATTAGTTTATGGGTACAAATATTTAGATGAAACAAAATTGAACAATTTTGAATAGAATTTTGGTTGACTCTTAAAGTTTTTTTTTATATACAAGATAATGAATAGTCTTCGACTATATTCGTGTACCCTCTGTTCGATAGAATGCCATTCTCATTAAGCTTCATGCCAACAACATTCAATAGACTAAAACTGACAGTTTGCGATCGTCTATTTTCTCAAGCTAGATTTTATTAGAATTTTTTGCTCTGATATCAAATGATGCTTGGGTTTTGCGGTGTATTTAGTAGCATATTGGTTTTGATCGATTGCATTGTCTTTCTTTGAAAAAATCAAACAGAAATTCATCGTACACAGAATCTTACCTTCTTTGGTTAATTTTCTCCAAACTTGGACTTCGAAAACTTAGCGCTGAAAATTGATAGTGAGGTGTCATTTACAGATAATTTCTAAAATAATAAAAGATTGTTAGAAATTTAGTTTCCACACTTGACCATGCCATTTTTCAATAGTATTAATAAATGTTTTTAACAAAGAAAGATAATATTTTACTTTCGTAATACATCGAGCGATGGTATGCTTCAACATCTGAAGGGAAATTCTAGTCAAGTCCAATTTAAGAAAACAGCCTCTCAAAAGCCCGCAATTTAATCTGTTTTATCCGTTCCATAAATTAATGTGGAAGAATAAATAAAACTTTCTATAACTGCTATATATTCAGATAGAGATCAACCACTGTCTTACACCAAAGCACAAAATGTTGTTCTTTCATTATTTGATTTGATTGACTTATATAGACATACGTATAGAACGAAAAATGGAGAATACAATACATAGGAACATAAACAAGTCTTTTCTTTAGTTCTCAATACAGATGCAGCGATGGAAAAAATAAAGTTACTCTCTCAGTCTTCTTTGATCAAAACAAAAATATATTAACCTAATTTTTCTATTTTTATCCAAATCTTTTCCCATTGAACATTATCTACTTTTTATTTATAGTGTAACAGATACAAATATTCAACAAGTAATCAACCTTCCAACAGTCAATAAAATTGTTGACAATGGTAGATATACATTTGTTAATCTTTTTTTTTTTGTATTCTTTTAATTGTTGCTTCATATCATGTTTCCTACGGGTATCCTCGGACATTTAGTTAAGTAGCAGCACAGAAGATATTGCATGGACACAGCCGACTATATTCACATCTTATATTTCCAATATCTCGAATATCTCTTATGCTAGTACTTAAATAAATTTTCAAGAAAATCCTGAAAAAACATCTAATTTTTTTCTGTTTTTTACTTTTAAGAAGATGAAGCTGATAACTCATCTATATCGAATCCAACTGCATATATCGGAAATTCTACAACAACTAGTAGTATTCTTCGTTCAAAAGAGTTACATTCTGTCATTGAAACTAAACGTAGAAATTTGTCTCGCAGTTGTTCTAGCTCTGATAGTGAAGATAATGGAAGTAATTATGATATAAATCGTTTAACTAATCAAAAACATATACGTTCACCGAATTTTTTGTCAGAATCTGAATTTATAAATAATTATCGTGGTCGATCATTAAGTAATATTGAACATAGTTCACATGAAATTCCAACAAATATTCAACAACAAATAGTTCTATCAAATAATAGTGAAAATATGAAACGAAAAAGTTTTTCACGAACTACTTCAATTATTTCAACAAATCGCTTTGCATTAATTAATACAAATGATGATATGAATACAGATACATCCATTACAAGTAGTTCAACATTAATTAATCATCGTACACGTAGTTTATCAAGTGAACATCGTCTTGCCAATCCATCACAAATATCAATTGCATCACGAACATCTATACGTCATTCAACACCACGTGAATCGACTGTATTTACAAAAACAGATGTACCAAATTTTATACGTGTATTACAACAAAAACAACATCAAGATACGAATGATGCAATACATAATTCAAATGAAAATCATCGTGTACAATTAACATCATTACATCAAGAACATATTCAAACACCAATTATTGTTGAAGAAGATACTGCATCACCATTAATATCAAAACCAAGTAGAAATATACAATCACCTATTATAACAATAGATAGTAATGATGCAACAAAATTTAATGTTATTATCCCAACAATAGAATATGTTAATCTAGAAAATGGTCATATTTTATCATCACCACGTTCACTATTATCAACATTGAAATATTCACTTATAAAACATCAACAAGATCAACGAAAACCAAATATTGAAAATTCAATAAATATAGATGGTAAACAAAAAGATTTAACTAATAAACAGCGAGTGTGTTGTATAATTTTATAGATTTCTGTCTTTTTGTTTTATTATAATCGTGTGAATTCTTTTTATTGTCTTTTGCTAGTGAATACAACATAATCCTCTCTTTCTATACAATTGATACTTCTTTCTGTATCTATATCTCTAATTGTAAATAGAATTTCTTTACAACGAATGCTTTGATTTTTAGAACATTTAGTATTACTTTAACTATTAATTGTAAGAGAGAGTTACAAAGAAATAGCAACACTATTTTTATGTATATAAGGAAAATTATTAGTCTTTATATGTTTATCTATTTCTGCTTCCTTTTTTGTTTGTGTTAACAAACTCACAACATTTTTGTATATAATCGTCAGAGATTGGTTCATGAACGTTGTATTCACGTTTTTCTTTTATTAAACTTTGCTGGTCAAAGATACCAAATGGACCATGATTAAATATGAAATTCAAACTAAAATGGTAAACTCTCACCAAGAAACAAAAACAAATCTCAGAATGACAGTTAATTTTCATTTGATATTTGATGTAGCTCTATAAAGCTACTAGCATACTCATTAATTACAAACTTCGAACTCTCTGATTATATTATACTTTGTTTCTCACTCTGGAATTAGGACTTATCAGTAATTCATACATACTGTTGTAGCTATTGAAACACATTATTCACCACATATAGTCGAGCATAATTAAAATGAATTCAAATAATGAAATAATCACATTGATATGGTACACAGCCTTGTAGAAAAATATTCAAAATTGCTATTGCACAAAGATTTTAATAGAAGTAGCAAACTAGCAATTATTCCAAATAATTTACATATCTAGTCAAGGATACTTTCTCCTCCTCTTTTTAGTCCTTTCTGATTCTCGAAGAGAGTATAATGAGTCCTCATGAAAAGTGTACACATGTAGAGCATTTAAAATAAGAAGACCATTGTTCGAGGAAAAAATTTTTAAACAAAATTCTCACAGGTTTTTTCTAATAGATTAGTTTTCCATAGGATGACATCGGGTTGGCTTACGACCAACGTCAAGCTTTGTCCGATCGGAATGAAAATGTTTGTCGAAATATTTTTGACTACATCTCATCCGTGGTTTTAAGCTATTTCACAAACCTAGCTGGCTTTTTTTAATGAAAGAATTACATAAAGATTCGGATCCAAAACTGAAGAGCTAGAGTTCATGGCTCTATAAATCCGGATAGGAAGATCAATAATGAGAACAGCTGATCTCATCTTTGGAGAATACGTCTAAATATCTATCGTCAAAGTTTCTGCCTGATCGAACCATGTTTGACGAGGGCTGTTAATTGGCCCGATGTGGTCCTACCGAAAACCAACGTTTTTCAGAAAACTCTTGCAAAAATCTTATTTAAATTTTTCTTCTCGAACACGTTTCTTTCGATTTTAGACGCTTCATCTGTAGTAAAAACTTCATGCTTATCTGTTGTACCATCTTCGAGAACCAGAGATGGATAGCCTGAAGTTGTGAGCGTCTATTTATAGATAGCTTGCAAAGTTCAGGTCATTATATTGTTTTGTTATCGAATAATTCAATTGACACAAAAAAAAATCGAATCTTTTTAAAATGAAATCAATTTTGATCAGTAGTTTTTTCTCAGCTCTATTTATTATAACAAGGTCTTGGTTCGAACATTGAATATTAGCCGTATACAAGTTAATGATTATACGGGGTAAGGTTTTTATTGTTCACCCTTTATTTTACATCATCAAAACAACATCATTCGATTGACTCTGTTGTTTTTATTGACATTACAATTGGATTTCTGAAATGGTGTAAGATAAGAAGCAAAGTCAATATTGAAATTCGATGAATCACTAAAAAAAGTATGCATAGCTGATATAATTGACTTTGACATCATTTTACTTTTATATGTAACGCTCACACAGAAGAACGCATTTAATGCTTAGAAATGTATATTTTATCTTTTACGTCAGATTGGGGTTGAAAACAGAGAGGCTTTTCGTTACATTAGGAAGTATTGCGCAAGACTTGACAAATTGTCTTCATATATATTTCTTCGTATTGAAACTTTTCAGTTTCTATTTTAACTTTCTATTCATCACAAATCATTCATACATTTAGTTTCTTTATTTTATTAATTATAAAAAAAACTAAGTAATGGTTCAATGTTCACCTCAGTTCAAACTTGTATTAGTCGGAGATGGTGGTATAGATCTGTAGTTTTCCTTGAAAAAATCCTCATTTATCATTTTTATCATCTTCAGGAAAAACAACATCCGTCAAACGACATTTGACGAATGAATTTGAAAAAAAAAGTATAATGCTACACTTGGTGCTGAAGTGCATCTACTTGCATTCCAAACCAATCGTAGTTTGATTATTTACAATGTATGGGATACAGCTGGTTAAGAAAAATTTGGTAGTAAGAATAGAACTCAAGAATTTCTCTGAATAAGTCTTTTGTTTCAAGTCTTTGTGATGGTTATTATATTGGTGGTCAATGTGCAATAATTATGTTCGGCGCAACATCACGTATTTCATATAAAAATGTACCTAATTGGTATAAAGATTTAATACATGTATGTGAAAATATTTCTATTGTACTTTGTAGAAATAAAGTCGATGTTAAGGCTCGTAAAGTTAAAGCTAAAACGATTGTATTTCATCGTCAATATTGTATGCAATATTACGATATTAGTGGGCGATCAAATTATAATTTTGAAAAACCATTTTTATCGTTATCATGTAAATTAGCTGGTGACGCAAATTTACAGTTTACTGCTATGCCTGTTCTTGAAGTATATTTCTTTCATTTAGCTCATTAATAGTTTGACATATAGGTCGTTCTTTTAGTCAGAAGAAATTTATATGACTGACGAACTTATGGATAAATTGAAGGATGAAAAGAAGAAGGCTATTAATATAGCACTATCTGATGATGATGAAGATTTGTCAAGAAAAATATAAATTTTGTTTTAATATTACTATCATTGTGAATAAAAAGATAAAGATACAAGAGAAACGCATATGGTCCTTGTAATATTTTTTTTACTGCAGCTACTGCAATTATATCGAGAATAAAAGTTCTTAAACTGGTGAGCATTTGATAATGAATTTGAGAAACTTCTAAAGACTTCCTCTAACATCGATTAATGGTCAAAATATGTCAAATAAACTCTTGAGATTGATAATAATTAGTTTGATAAAAGACTAAGTCTCATTCTCGAAAAATCTTGAAAGAGCAGAAAGTACTTCAAAGTGCATTGGATGAGTCAGCTTTCACGCAACATTTTCGTTCAAAAATTTACAACTCTCAATACTTCAATAGGTAGAACTCCACGACCGAATATAATCTGTTAGAGATCCTTAGGAATAGCGCATTCGACGCACTGATAAAGTTTATTCTTCATAGCATCACAAAAAAATCGGATTACTATAGGGATATAGACGCTTGTGTTGATTGTAGATGGCTAAGAAGGTTCGTCTTATTTTCTTCAATGAAGTGTGGATAAAGGTGCAACAAATCTAGAAAAGATTCGGGATTTAGATGCAGATCTTAGGTTTGGATAAAGATTTGGACTTGACAACTTGGGTTTAAACTTCAATTTGGAGAATGGATTTGCTTTTAGACTTAACTTGCATAAATCGTTTGCAATTCGGTGTGCATTATCGAAATGAAAATTATATGTATTATTTTTGATCGAGACCAAACCTAAATCTAAATATTAAGAGTTTGCTCAGCAATCTCAAAATCTTTTTCTGGTTGTGTTTTACGTCTAATTAAGAATTAGATCGTTGTTGATGTCACCTTATCTTACTCAATCCTTCCTTGAGATTTGGATGATTTGAGATCAAATCCAAACCCAAACCGAAATCGAGCGTTTCAGAAAATCTATTGACATACTAGTATATGAAACAGCTCGTGATTTTCATGTGGTTTACTTTTATTTTTAAATATTTTATTTTCAATGAAACACGTCTCAAATCAATTGATATTGTTTCGTTTCATATGTCTTAATTTGATTTGTACTTTTTTTTCCTTTAAAATAGACATTCACAGATGTAAACGCTGAAGTATATACTATCTTAGGAAACTTGAGAATGATTTGATATATACGATCAAGTGACAAGTTAAGTCAGAGAGAGCAAAATCAACTTTGATGTCATAAATCATCGAAGAAAATTGTCGAGTTAAAAGTTATCTGGCTTAACTATCTATATTGTAGAGACTTATAAAGTTGTTTCTTAACGAGGAAAGAAACAAGTCAAAACACTAAACCATCAGGGAGAACTATATCGCCTACAGAAGAAACATAAACATTCATTAAACAATCAGATTCAATTAAATATAAACTAATGGATTTCTTCTTCTCTGAATCTTATTAATGATTTGGATATTTTGTTAACACTTGTATATAAGTATGTGAATATGATAATCGAGAATACATTATAGTATTTTAGTTAATTTATTATTGGTAATGGTAATCCATGTAGACGAATGACGGATGTAACAAGCATAAATATTAAGGCGTAGGTACATTATTGTGTTTCATTATAAAATAAACCGTTCTCTTCCACATCGTGTATCAACTAATATTTCATAAAGGCCATTGCGATAGATCAGCTATAATGTCACTTCATTTGATATGGCTTGAAGCCATGGCAACGTAGTGCACTATTGAAATAAAAAATCCTTATTTAAGGGTTTCATTGATTTTGCATCAAAGTTTTGAAATTCTGTTGTTGTATAGGTTCTAAAACTCGTGCATTTATCCTCACCAATTGAAATGTTTCAGTGTAAATAGAGAATCAACATTTATGATTCTCTTTTGACGACTGATTATCGATATTATTGATAGATCATTTCGACTCACTAACTGTATTTATGATTTTAAATGTGATCAAATGATTCTGAGCAGAAATACCGTTCAGACAAACAACACAAAACAAGAACCTAATCATAGTTTCAACGCATTGTTTTCCATATGACCATCTCTCTATGACGTTTTTTGAAGAAATTTTCTGCATTACATATGTACGATATGAATAAATGAAGACTCCTTTAACTTCAGTTTGAGTATCAACTGAAGAGCAACACGTACTCATCAGGATTCTCATATAAATTACTTAAAATTAGAAACTACAAGTTCTTTTCTCTAGCATTTATATTACTCTTCACTTTGGTATTACTCTACAATAGTTTCGAAAAAAAGAATAGATTTCAATATATATTTGTCTTATTGCAGCTCAAATAGCTTATGTTTGTCAGGACGCTCACCTTCCAGTAAGACTGTGTAAATGCAATGATCTATATGTAGACTAAAACTTACAACGCACAACAATAATCATTTTTTGATACTGAAACCCTTGATAAAAGAGTTACAAGTACTATTGACATAGATTATATTATGCAGTATTGCAGACAAACAACATCAATCACGATAAGAACAAAATATAGAGCGATACTTCTAATTTTGCCTTTATGTGCTGCATTTTGTCCCCGACTGTTACAAAACTTTACGATTATTTTCTCTTGCAATGCTATATTAGCAGATAATGTCAATCATGATTTATTATTGTACGTGCCTAATCTGTCGCTGCTTGAGATAATGCAAGACAGGAATAGTATAAAATATAGATCTATAAACCGATAAATCAGCCTTTCGTCCTTTCAAGAGAATGAATTTTTGTCACCTTTTCTCTGATAGATGATACAGTTGGTCCATGTATTCACAGATCCTATCAGATCAGGATTATTTTTTTTAGCTTGAATGCAAGTCTCCTGTCTTTTTTCACTGTTAACCTAACTTTAGTTACTTTGAATGAAAATCCTAACGATCAATGTCTAGAACAGTTCAATCAATACAGTGATCCCTTTTTTTGCTACAATGTCCTTTCGAACATGTGGCTCGATGAGGTTTACGCCTGATTGAAACAAGATGCAGAATCTGCAATTAGATTGACAAAAATGTCAAAATTATTGCTTTAGAGGATAGTATCTTTTTGGAAGTTTTAGCGATATATCCTATTAGAGTTCCAAATATTATATTTACATCGATGACATTATATAGATAAGGATCGCCTTCGCTACATTCTGAGAAATTTCAATTTAAATCGTGACTCCAAAACCCGTTTATCTGACATATATATTCCATTCCTTCACATAAAATATTTCTCTATAGTCTCAAAAGATTTAGGGGTAAATTAATAGACTCGTAGCGAAATCGTGCGTTAACAAGCATATTTTTCTGTCTACACGCTCGATTATAGAATGATAGAAGATAAAGTCAAGTGAAGTCAAGTACTTATATATGTTCGATACAATAAGTATATGTATTTAGCTTATCTAAAAATCAAAATGAGCATGAAAATACTTGTATTAGTATCTGAGAGTAACACGTCGAATTCAACAATTTCCACGCAAATATACACATGACGAGGAGAGGCATTAACACCAAAGAATCAATACAGATAACTAAAATTATTGACTGAAATCTTAGGATCTACAGACAGTTTTGTTCAGTTTCCTGTTCAGTATTCACTAAATTGTCTGTGACCGAGCAATATTTTGTATTGATTTCTCTGAATGTCAAATAATAGCGAAGATTGAAGTTTTCCAGTAAACTGATAAGTTCTTGTACTGATGATTCAATGATTCGTTTCTTTTTAGTTTCTATGCAACTTTCTTCATTTATTTGTCTTGTTTTAGGTACAGCATTTCTGCTATCCAACAGACGACATGTACCGTTTATTTATAGTTTTTGTCCTTGTTGAGCTTATAGTCACCGTCTATACCAATGATCGATCATATAAGTCTTGGGAACGAATTGATTGTTATCCGGAACGTGAGTCCCCATTTTCAAATTTTTCGAAAGAAGCATGTCTAACACGTAATTGTCTATTCGATGATGATGCACTTCAAAATGAAACTCAATGTTATTTACGATCGAACTACGGATACATTTTGGAGGCGGATGTGCAACAAACAGATAATGGTATTCGTCTACGATTACGACGAAATCAAGGTGTTGCCAGTATGTTTCCAATTCCAATCGATAATGTCATCCTCGATGTACAATATTATACTAACAATATACTAAGATTTAAATTGTACGATGCGGATAATCAACGATATGAGGTTTGATCATGGAATAATTTATTGAAATGATTTTATATGTATTTCTTTTACTTCTAGGTGCCTATTCCATTAACTCCTTCACCCGGTCGAGCAGTATCGCCTCAATATGAATTCACTTATGCGTCGAATTCTTCACGTGATAATATTTTTTCATTTCGAATTCAGCGGCGAGTCATCGGAGCGACATTATTCGATACATCTCCGGGTGGTCTTGTACTCAATAATCAATTTCTTCAAATAGTCACACGATTACAATCACCACATATTTACGGTTTCGGCGAAAATAATCATGATACATTGAAACATAATGTTGATGAACATAAAACATGGGGTGTTTTCGCTCGTGATCAAGGTTAATTTTAAAAAAAATCTATTTTCACGTTGAACCGAGTTTTCTTTTTTGGTTTAGGTACCAATTGGGATACAAATGCGAATCATTATGGTTCGCACCCGTTTTATCTTGTTATGGAACAAATACCAAATTCAGCACAAGTTCCATCGGGTAATATGCATGGTGTTCTCTTACTCAATTCAAATGCAATGGATTATTCATTTTCATCAATGCCATCGTTAACAATACGTACCATTGGTGGTATTCTTGATTTTTTTGTATTTCTCGGTCCGAAACCAGAACAAGTCATTCAACAATATACATGGCTTGTTGGTCGATCGATTCTTCCACCATATTGGTCACTCGGTTTTCAACTTGCTCGTTGGGATTATTCGAATTTAACACATATGCAAAATGTTGTCAAACGCAACCGTGATGCTGGTATTCCACTCGATGTTCAATATGCTGATATTGATTATATGGATGCAAAAAAACTTTTCACTATTGATCCGGTTAATTATCATGGATTAAAGGAATATTTTTCTCAATTGAATGTCGAAGGAGTTAGAACTATTATCATACTTGATCCTGGACCAATTGATGATCAAATTTATTATGCACCAACAATTGAAGGTATTCAAGAAGATGTTTTCATCAAATGGGACGATAGACAAACATTGGTGAAAGGTTCTTGTTGGCCAGGCGATGTTTTCTTTCCAGGTTAGTATTTTCAATTGCGTTTCATTTAAAAAATCAAATGTAAGTAATGATTATCAGATGACTTCTCAACTTTAATACCTTCTTATATTAACTTCATTTCAAGACAACAATACATTTTTCTAGATCTGTTGTTACCAGAAAATATGATATTTTAAAATATATTGATTAGTGCTCATCTGAACCTGATTATATTTTCATTCGATAGTAACTCTTTTAATGTTAGTTATATGACCGATCAATGGATACATTTATGATAGTAGAATTTAATCAGACTACTTTTTCGAATATAAGTCTTTTAGCCTCTGCACAGCGATCCATTGGTGTCAGCCTAGAAGAATTTTATTTGAATGCTGTAATAAAAGATAATTATGTTTGTAATTCAGTAATATTTTAGATTGATTCTGTTTCATAATGAAAGATTTTTCTATGAGAAAACGATATGTAGACAATATTTTATTTTCAATTTTAATTTAGCTTAACTATATTGTGACATCGTGAATAATCTATCGTTGGCTAAAAGTGTTTAGAAAATAGTGTTAACAAACACGACTGTTATTCATTCTTCTAGGTACAAAAGTTAATGAGCGGTCTGAAAATGGATTTTATTGTTTTTCCATAGTAAAACATAAATTGCAAAAGTCGTTTGGAAAAATATCAAAACATAATTCTTAGTAGCGGAACTTCGAATTGACTTTAACTATTTTTTGATTGAAAGAACAAAGTCTAGAGGACAAAGAAGTCTAGCAAATACTTGTTAATGTAATCAAATTGTACTACACAAGGATATACTCCCCATAAGTCTTAAAACAAAGCTTTGCAACCGTCTGAAACATTTATTGAGCGAATAACACTTAGAATAAACCTATGACTGTTAAAAAAATATATTGTTGGATAAATCTTAAAAACTCTATGTCAATTTCATTTTTTTTTTCTATATTAAATTGACATTCTAGCGGATGGGATATTACAAGAAAAGGGTTTTAGATCAACAGCGTAACCAAAACTAAACTAAAAATAGACGATTCATTCGGGCTTGTAGAGCTCGATTTGTGGCCATGTTTCGTTTAAACTTTGATTCAGACTGTACCGCAAACTGAACGGTTAACAGTAACGAAAAGTTAGATTGCCAATACATTTTGAACATTACTCTGTATCTAAGTTTTTAATTAGTAAACGACAAATGTTGTCTCTATGCCAGTATGTTTCATTATTTAGACTTAGCTATTTGAAACAAAACTAAACATTCAGATTGATGCGATACTCCGTGGCTGAAAAGTACATTCTGACATTTTTCCAAAGATTTTTGCGATGTATGTCACTATCGTTTTTCTAAAACACAATAACGTTTTCTCCTCATACCAATCAACGACCGGAAAGAAAATGTGAAAGCATTTCTTAGTTATGTTCGAAATAAATTCATCGTTTCTCAAATTTTAATTTTGCAAGGATTACGCTGTAAACTTTCTAAATAAAAAGAAAACTGGTATTTCATTTCAATACTAAAATTGATACAAATAAGAAGTGTTTTTTCTTGAGAGAACATTTTACCAATGCCTTCCTTTAGTTGAAGTAAAACCGTTCAAGACAAGGCATAGATCATGCTTATTGAGAATGGACTTTCTACAATGCTTGCAGTCTGTCCCTGAGGTGTTTTTCTTCATTAGGCTTAAGTGAAAGTTTTAAATTGGTTACACAGAATGTTTTAAAAGTTATTTCAACATAAAATGCAAACACGTCTTTGGCAATTGATCTAGTAGTCACGTTTCTTTTATTATCTAAGTTCATATCGCGTCAAAATTTTCTTCGATATATTTCAGATACAATTCTGAATCTATAAACTCTAGAATCTACATGGTTCTATCAACGAACAAACTTTTCAAATTAATATATCATAAAATCGATGAAAAAATTTGCAGTACTGACATACGGGACAAATAGATTGGACACATGACATCAATATGAGATTTTCTCATAACCTGACGCCGTGGCTAAGTTATTTCTTTTATGGAAATAATTGAACGTCAGTGTTTTAGAAGGTGTCTGCTTTACATCAGATCCAATTGATTCTAAGAATCAGTAAAGACAATAATATGATCTCAAAGAAAAACTAAATTAATTTTTTTTCTTTCAATCATTTGAAAACGGTGAACCTATGTTATGCAACTACTTAAAACTATTTTGAACAACAAATACAAATATCGATGGGAGAAAAAACGTTTAATTAGTCCTGAATTGATTTTTTAAGATTTTCTACATGATATCTGAAATATTTCAAAGTTATTTTATAGCTTCTTTTTTTTTGAAGAACTTTAGAAGACTGTTCTGCATCATTTCATTTGTTCTTTATCTAAGTTTCGCATGTTTTGTACAATAGATTTCTACATAGAATGTTCATGGAGATTTTTATGTTCTGCACAGATTTCTTTACAAATCAAACTCGCACATGGTGGTCACGCTGGATCAATGATTTTCGACGTGTCAATCTAAGTTTCGATGGACTTTGGATTGATATGAATGAGCCAGGTATGAATATATTTGCTATGATTCTAGGAATACTATCAACAGCATGTGATTAAAATATTGTGTCTTATTTTTGAACAGCCGTGTTTGATACCAACAATGAAATTCCATGGAATTGGATGCAAACTGGCAGTAATTATACTCTAAAGTGTCCAAATAACCAATGGGAAGATCCTCCTTATCGAACTAAAGCTGTTTTTCGCTACGATATCAATTTGAATAGAGCTGGTCGTCTTTCCGATCGCACGATGTGTATGTCAGTTCGACAGGGTGAAGTTGATTCAGAAACTAGCCAACCCAAATATCTTCATTATGATGTTCACAGGTGTACAATTGTAATAACGTGTCATTCTTTTTTTGATAAAGACCTTCTCTTACTTCTAGTTTGTATGGATGGAGTCAAACAAAGCCAACCTTAGATATTATGCGAGCAATAACCGGTAAACGAAGTTTAGTTTTGCCTCGTTCGACTTTTGTCGGTTCCGGTCAATGGAGTGGTCATTGGCTCGGAGATAATGAAGCCACATGGCATGAAATGAAACGATCCTTAATCGGTATGATTGAATTCAATTGGTTTGGCATCCCCTTAAATGGTGCTGACATTTGCGGATTCGATAAAACACCAAGTGAAGAAATGTGTATTCGGTAATGATCCGATGGGATTTTTTTCATTTTGTTTATTTTTCAAAAATGAATTATCACTCGTTTGTTCTAGTTGGATGCAAGTTGGTGCTTTCTATCCATATTCTCGAAATGTAGATTTAAGATAGATTAACATATAGATGCAAGAATATCTTGTTCTTCTCTTTTAGCATAATGTTTGGAAAACACCAGATCAAGATCCAGCATCATGGTCTCAATCAGCTGTGTCTATCATGGTTTCTGCTCTTCGTATTCGTTATACTTTACTTCCATATTATTATACACTTTTCTACAAAGCACACACGCAAGGTTCAACTGTCATTCGACCATTGTTTCACGAGTATCCAACGGATAAAACAACACTTGATTTGTATCTTCAGTTTCTTATTGGATCGCATGTTATGATAGCACCAGTGACTGATAATGGAGCAAGACAAGTTCAAGTTTATATTCCCTCATTGTATTGGTATAATTTTTATACAGGTGCACGAATTACTAGTCAACGAAAATTTATTACAATGGATGCACCTTTGGATACGATTCCAATTTTGTTAAGAGGTGGTGCCATTTTACCAACGCAAGGATACGCAAATAATACAAAGTATTCAAGGTAAATAATGAAGAAAAATTCAGATTGGTTTTGTTTTATTTTTATCGATTTATCTTAAAATGATTTTGTCTACTAAAACAAAACATCGTTCAGTAAAACCTCAATAAGATGGAAATATGAAATACGAGGAACATAGTTAGATAGTAAATGAAAATCTCTATTGCAATCTATCACTGAATGATAAAGGCAGTACGATTGAATCTTAGATGGGAATCAAAAGATCATTGTCTGAATGAAGAAGTAGAATCTTACGAACTTTTAGAGTGCCCGATAGATTTTGAATTCCAAAATTCATTTCAAGTATTCAAAAAAACAAGAAGAACTCTATATGTTTATCTTTCTCTTTGCTAAAGTAATATATTTGTCCAAGGGAGAAAAGTAAATCTAGGTGTTCTGTGAAATTTTAGGATGCATAATCTTCTTTTTTCTTTGTGTTTCCCATACTTTGTGATTAAGACTGGAAGATTGACTTTTCTGATGTGAGTCAAACATTTTACCATTTTCTTCATCAATAGAGACAATCCATTCAGTCTGATAATTGTACTCGATTCGAATGGAAATGCTGAAGGGGATCTATTTTATGATGATGGTGAATCGATCGATACAATCGGTTCAAAAACCTATTTCTATGCAACATATAAATGGACAATGAATGATCGTCAATTGTTCATCAATGTTATTGAAAATAATTATACTCACATGGCAAATTTAACTTTAAATTCATTAATGATTTATGGATTAGATAGAATGCCGGTCATCATTACTGTTGATGGAAATGAGTTACGTCCATTAATACAACGTCGAAAACAAATTATTGAAATTCGTGAATTTAAATTGACGATGAATGAAAATCACCGGATCACATGGCAATATCCAGATATACTTGTCGTTGAACCACCTGAAATTATTACTACTGATCCCAAATATCGTATTGATTGTTATCCTGATTTTGATGAATATAAATCGTTTTGTATGATTGATCGATCACCAAATCAAACAGTCTTGACAATAACAAATCAATTATGTACAGCTCGTGGCTGTACATGGGTTTCAAATGCGGCGACAAATACACCATCGTGCTATATTCCAATAGAAAAAGGTGGCTATAATCTAACCGAATCATCAAGTCAAATCTCAGATGTCATAACAATTTATAAACTCAGTCGTCTGTCGATCAAGGCTACTCAGATTCGATCGTTAAAATATCCTGAACTAGTTTATAAGTATTCATTGACAAATCAAATTACGAACGCTAGAATAAATGAGTTTTCCATGTTCGGTGATGATATTCATGATTTAAATGTTCAAGTCAGCCTTTCAGGTTCTGATAAGATTCGTATGACAATACGTGATGCAAATGCAAAACGATATGAAGTTCCGGTTCCCATTATTTGGCAACCATTGGTTCCATTAACACCATCTTCACTTAAAATCAAATTCGAAATAACTAAAACTCCCTATGGACAAGTCGGATTTCGAGTTCAACGTACAAATACACAATCGATTCTATTTGATACATCATTCTTTGCTAATGGCTTCATCTATGATGACAAATTTATTCAACTGATAACAACAATTCCATCCAGAAATATCTATGGTAAATTATGATTGACAATAAAATTTGAATTATCGTTTTTTTTCCTATAGGTTTTGGCGAAAATACTCATTTAAGCTTTCGACATGTTTTAAAAGGGTCGTTTCGTTATGGAATGTTTACCCGAGATCAACCACCAGGCGGAGGAAATGAAAATTTGTATGGTACTCATCCATTTTATATGGTTGTTGAACCTGATGGACAAGCCTTTGGTGTATTCATTTTGAATTCGAATGCACAAGATTATAAGTTTGATGAATTTGATGATGATCAAGCTATGTTAACTTATCGAACTGTGGGCGGTATTTTAGATGTTTTCTTTTTTGCTGGACCTCGTCCGGAAGATGTCATTCGACAATATCAAACAGTTATCGGTAATCCTTACATGCCACCTTACTGGGCACTTGGATTTCAACTTTGTCGGTACGGTTATAATACACTAGATAATATGAAAGCAGCCACGATGAGAACACTCAACGCTAGTATTCCTCTTGATGTTTTGTAAGTATGAAAATCATTATTTACCGTTGATTTAGATTTATGTATTTTCTTTCAATCAAGATACGGTGACATCGATTATTTTCGAAACAGGCTTGATTTCACTTGGGATCTGGTTAATTTTGATGGCTTACCTGAATATGTAGATTGGCTACATGATCAAGGAATGAAATTCATCACCATTCTGGATCCAGCTATTGATTCCGAAGAGGCAAACTATTCTGTTTATACTGAAGGACAAAAAGTCGATATTTGGATTAAATGGCCTCACCATCGCAATCTTCAATTTAACGAAACAGGCAACCGAAATATGTTAGGTTATGTGTGGCCTAATGGTGAGTGCATATTGTATGTAAAATTTGTGCAATACGATTTTCGATCAGATTCCAAAGTAGAAAAACAAACACAAGAGAAAGAGAAATAAAAGTATTCGAAGTATGAAAATTAAAACAATAAATCATATCAATCAATTAGCTTCTTTTGATTTTCCGAGAAAATGGAACAAGAATAGCCAAAGAAGCTTGATTTAAATACGGTAATTCTTATAGGAACTTTATCTATAAAAATGGAGACTAATCATCACTTGGATCATTTTTTAACACTTGCTCTCTTCAATTTAGGTAGTTCCAAGAAGTACCTACTCTAATGACCATGTATACATGAATAATTTTCAAGCAAACACTATAAACTTGTTGCTCTCTCATTCTCTCAAATAAATATATCCTAAGTACAAATGATATTGGAATCCGTTATCGATATTGCTAGCATTTCAATATTGATGACTAAAATGGCAGCTTCCATACGTTCATATATTGATATTTAGTAGTTACATGAAAAGCAGCATCTCTTGAATGTAATCATGTAGCATCGACGATGTTCTATTCAAAGAATCTCTACATAACCCAATGGAGGTGATTTTTTTCTCAGATCCAAATACTTGTTAATGAGTTTTGATGTTCATAACGAGAAAATTGTACGATTCCGATGGGCTTCAAATTTTGTTGATATCTTGCTCAGTTTTCATTGTTAAGACCTCAGTTTATTATCGAAAGATGCGTCCAAAAATTCTTCGTAATTCAATATCAACTGACAAGAATACTTTTTTAAACGGTATATATAGTGATGTTGACTCAAATCAATCGTCATTGGTAAACACCAATTCTTCACTTCAACTGAGCGGAAATCAAAGCAAGCTTACATAATTTTGCGTATTACATTCAGATGAAGAAGAATATTTGACGTCTGAGATTTTTGAATAGATTACCGATCATGTTTCAAAGAAACACAAAGCAAACTCAACTTCATAGATGAACTTCTGACGACATATGCAAAACTTACTGAAGATCTCAATGCTGCTATTGTATACAGCTAATTTTTATATGTTTGAAAAGAAAAGAAGTAATGAAAATATACGGTCTACCATTTACAACTGTCACTCACTACAGCTTAGCAGACGGTTTTCTGTGATTGAAAATTGGTCAACTTGACGGCGTACATTATTACTTGATTATTTTACTGTTTTTTAAGTCTAGTTTGAGCTGTTAGCACATTGATTGATAGAGAATTTTATGGTGCATATTATGATAATAAACTGAAGCCTTGACAGTGAAAACTCAGCGAGATATCAAGAAAATTCGAAGATTCTTATTCATTCTAGACTATTTGCTTATTCAAAATAATGCAATCTTCATATTCCACCAGACTGTTATTAATCTCTGTTTAATTTAGGTAAAACAGTATTTCCTGATTTCTTTTATCCCCCAGCACACCAATGGTGGAAATCACAAATCGTTGATTATCATACTAAAGTCAAATTTGACGGTCTTTGGATTGATATGAAGTAAGAGTACCCTCTTATTGATGATCGTGATCAATGTTTTGATCACTCTAGTGAACCAGCTAATTTCGATACAAATAAAGAAAAACCTTGGAATTGGAATCGGCCAGAACCGTGGAATCTTCGGTGTCCTATTGACAGTGAACCTTTAGATAAACCACCGTATCAGACAGCAATATGTGGCGATTATTTATCGGATAAAACATTGTGTATGATTGGTGAACAGGTAGATGGACAAGGCAAAATCTATCATCATTATGATGTCCACAGCCTATATGGATGGTCAGAAATAATAGCCACATTACCAGCTACGCGTGCAACTGAAAACAAGCGATCTATTATAATAAGTCGATCAACATTTCCAACTTCAGGCTCATTCAGTGGTCATTGGCTAGGTGACAATACAGCGGATTGGTCACATCTCAAATATAATATAATTGGAATGTTAGAGTTTAATTTGTTCGGAATTCCTTATATAGGCGCTGATATTTGTGGCTACTTTCGAGATACAACAGAACAACTATGTCAACGATGGATGCAACTAGGTTCTTATCCTCTTTTTCTTTTATCATAATAGTAAAATACAAAATAACTTTCATTCAACATTACTTTAGGTGCTTTCAATCCATTCTTTCGAAATCACAATGGTTTTAATTATATCGATCAAGATCCTGGAATATTTTCGACAGAAGTTGTTACATCGAATCGTCATGCTGTTGAATTACGTTATACTCTCAATCCATATCTCTACACACTATTCCATCGAGCTCATATTTCAGGTGGTACTGTTGTTCGTTCTATGGCTCACGAATTTCCATCCATTGTTGAATGTTGGTCACTTGATGAACAATTTTTATGGGGTTCATCGTTGCTCATTGCTCCAGTTATCTATGAAAATCATGTCAATAAGTCGGTTTATTTGCCTACAACGGAACGATGGTTTGATTATTATACTGGTCAAGAACAGACAACACTTGCCCAAATCACAGTATCTGCACCGTATACTTTTATTCCATTGTTCTTACGTGGTGGTGCTATCATACCCCACCAACAATCGGCTATGAATACTGTACTCTCACGTAAAAAACCCATGTATCTTATTATAGCACTCAACAAAAACCAAAGGGCTAGTGGAGATCTATTTTGGGATGATGGTGAATCGATTGATACCTATGAAAACTTGATTTATAATTATTTTATTTTTAATTTCAATTCACAACGTTTAACCCTTGAACCTTGGACATATAATTATCCACAAATGAGCGATGATGGCAAATTGGATGAAATAAAAATATTTGGTATAAATAAACAACCAACAACAGTTATATGGAATGGACAAGAGTTAATAGCAAGTAAATGGACATTCGATGCTACAAGGAATGTCTTGCATATGCAAACGCTCGCTTTGAATATGGCTAAAACACATAAATTTGTTTTTATTTGATTAGGTTTTTGAAAGTCGCTTGATGCGGACTATTGAATACAATACAAGAGAGCATTTGAGTCACAGGTCTTCTTTGAAACTTGCAAACAATAAGCTGATTATGATATCATCTTTAAATAAAATTGAGTCTCTCATAGATTGCAACCTATTTGGTGAATAACTCAGAAATTCACTGTTTCTGTATATTCTGTAGGCATTGATCTTTGCTTAATAGTGTCAAACAGAATTATCAGTATGAAAGGAACTTAAGAGAGAGACCAGCTTGGAACTATCCTAGGTCTCTGGGGAAAATGTTCGTTTTAATTTAGTTAGGATGTGGGTGAGGGATGGATGTTGGATGTGGGTGTGGCAAGGATGTGAGGTGTTGGTGTGGGTGTGAGGTGGGTGTGGGGTGTGAATGTGGGGGGGGGAGGGGTGTGGGTGTGGATGGAGGGATTATTTCCTTCTCAACCACACACACCCACATCCCATCAGATGAAACTCGATTGTTTTGTTCAAATTAATTGTCAAAATGCAGCCAAATGTTTTCAAGACGATTTGACTTGTCCTCAAATATGTATATGCAATTTGTTCTGGATATTTTATGGAACACGATGCTAACTTGGTACAAATGGATTAAGTCTTTTGCTTGATGCTAGCACAAGTTATAAGATTCAATCACATGTCAATCTTTTAGATCAACTGTTAGCGATAAAAATGAGTATGACATTATCAATCATGATGTCTTTTTTTAGTAAGACTTGTCAATGGGATCCTTTTCTTTGATGACGTTTCAAAATAAAAAAATACGTAAAATCAGTTGTTCCTATGACTTATTGAGTTCATCTGTTACTAGTCTCTTGAAAATGATAAGGTTTGTGATCAAATTCTGGATTTTTCTCTTGTCACCAATGGCATTCATTATGAATTAAGCATTTTTATCTTAACTCTTCTACCCTTAATAATCGGCACAACTATTCATGATTGTCTTAATCGACATTTCACTCATGACGATAATAGTGATACAAAAATGTCTATGGTGTAATATTATGTATCAGCTACACTTCGTATCTGTTTATTTGGCTATTCACATTTATCTTTTTATTATTTCGTTTTTGATCCATATGAATTTAATCTTAATTACCATCATTTTAGCAGTTCGAAGACGAGTAGTAGCCAAAATTAACCAAACTTACAAATTAAATTTATGTGAACAATTGCGACAATATCATCATATTCTTATTGTTTTCGTTGTGATTGTTATTCTTCCTCTAGCATGTCTGATTCTTTCTTTTGTTATAGATTGCAAGAAATCTGTTCACAATTCATGGTTATCTTTAATTGGATATTTCAGTTTATTTATTCCCCCTATGCTAACATGTATCGTATTTATTTTGCCATTGACATATTACAGAGAAGAATTACATTGAACCTGGTCTTGTAGCGATCCTTCTTTTCTCGAAGCGTTCTTATTTATTCTTGTTTTTCAAGTTTTGATAGAAATAAACTTTTAGGACATGGAGAAAAAACCACGACGAAGATAACTAGATGACCTCTATCATCAATGATGTGTTGGTAGAAACTGCAAATGTTTTGTGGTTCAGCTAAATTAAAAAATAATTAGTCCTATAGTATAAAACACAGTTGAAATATCTTAATAATACATGCAGCACTCGCATTCGGATTCGAGTCATGTTAAATAACGGTTTTCGCGATTTATATACATGGAAAAGTCGTATCTAACTATGCACATGTCGGTAGAAATGAGTAAGAACTTCACTTTTCAATCCTGATCCCTTAAACTCTTTGATTTTTTATGCTGAGCTGCAAACATGCTTTCGAAAGGCGTTGCTCTCAGGCAGTAGTCCCGTACATCAAGGATTAGTGTTCGTGCAATTTCTAAAACATTCAGACAATTCAGAATTGTGAAGGTATACTCTCGGAGATTTTAGGGCGTTCTTGTTTACTTAAACCAAAAAAGAGTTCAATGTTCGATGAAAAACGACCGCTTTCATAAACCTAAAGTTTCATGATTGGTCTCAGTTTACCTCATATTTACTTCTTATATTCTATTCACATAGAACTTTTATCATGCACGTTCTTCCTTAATAGTTGCAAAATTAAGCTGAGCATTTGGTTTAAGCATGCACCAAATCCTGTTTTTAAGTGATAAAGATGACTCATTTACGATGTCAAGAACCGTCAGTTCCTGTCAAACCTTTGGATGCTCTCTACTCAACTTTTATTGCTCTATCTGATGCTAGTTATAGATAGAGCAATAAAAGTTGAGTAGAGAGCACCCGAAAGTTTGACAGGAACTGACGGGTCTTGACATCGTAAATAAGTCATCTTTATCACCTAAAAACAGGATTTGGTGCTTGCCTAATTTGGTCTAATAAAAACTATATGAAAAGAGTAATTAAGAGACGATTGAAACAAGAAAATGTATTTGTTCCCAATGACTGAAACGTAAGTGATCATCCTGAAGTATTCTCTTCTCTTCTCGTCTAACCTATTACCAAATCGGTCTGAGCTCAAATACCATCGGTTATTATTGAACTCTATTACACAGTTTCTTTTTTATGTTACACAATATTTCGACGGAAGTTCCTTCGTTTTTTTAACAAAAGTCGTCTTTTTCTGTGGAAAATTCATTACAAAACTCATTCTTTCTCATAATTGAATGCTTCGAAAGAAGCAGCAAAAATTTGCAATTCGAATCAAATTGCACTGCAAACTGGATAAAGTTTACAATTAGCAATAATCTCTTCTCACGAGAACGCTCATTGAATAAGGTATCGCCACTGCGCAAGCATAACTCAATCG